TGGAGTTAAAATCCTACTAGGGTAGGCCGTGATTTTTAATCCCTTGAGCAAGGAGTTTTTCACATTAATATCGTGTGTTTTTTACTTTCTATCTATTTACTATGAGAACAGATAGAGAACTAGTTCTCTATATTGTTTGGTGGACTCCTAGTTTCTATCAAATCATATTATTTTCAACTCCTAAAATTTGACCTAAAGAAAAAAAGAAAATATATTTTCATGGAAGATAAAGTTTTTTTTTAAAAATTCAAAACACTAAGAACATTCTTAAAAAACAGAATGTGAAAGTAGAAACCGCCAATCAAAAAGTTGAACACTTCAGAATCCTTATTTGAGCATCTCAAAGATATTACAAACATGTTGAATCAATACATGTACTTCATAAAAAGAAAATTATTTTATATATTTGATTACTATCTTAAAAAAAATTAATATGACACAAACTCTAGGACAAAGTATACCAAAGGGATTACGAAGGTAATTGCTCTTTAACAATATTACAAAGTCAAGAAACAATCCAAAGGAACATATGTTGCTAGTGGCACTAATACATGGGTCACCAACAACAATTCCGCAAACACCAATTTGAACCCAAAAAAGAGACTCATGAGAGGACTACTTTAAATATAGAGCAATGTTGGCAAGAGCCTATATTTTCTTAAGCGTGAACGTAGGAACAGATTGATTGTATTTCAAACTAAACATGGAATTACATGAAGTTGGCACTCATGCCGAGTGAATCAAGTTATACAATTACCATCTTCAAGTTGAAAGTACGCTAAGATAATTTATAAATTGGAAGTTAAATGAAGTTAAATACTTATTGATACTCACAATAACATTATTTTTCTAACTCATCAACATTTAGATGGACGATGTATCAGTTTGCTTTCTTTGGATCTTCCACGTGATGCTTTTTCAAGAGTTCATCAAACGCATAAATATCACAAACACAATGATAGCTAATTATGACAACTTATTTCACTTATTTGCATTAGGACTTTCATG